GAACGCCATCCTGAACGACGGAGGCCAAACACCGATCCGAAAATGAGGCCCACGCTGCAGCGGGAGCACGATTCGGAACGATTCGGGAGCAGAAATGAGGCCGGCGCCTCAACGAGAGCAGCATTTTGGGAAAAAAATGACGCCGGCGCCTCAGCGAGAGTCGTTTCCCGGGATTTCCCGGGCATCCTGTGTGTAAAAAACAGTACGCGGAGGGTGCGCGGCTATCACCCGGACGCCATCAGGGGAAGAGGGAGAGTATATTCATATTGAGTAATTGTAGAGGGACGGGGGAGGCAGGGCGGGGGGGAAGGAGGGGAGGGGGAGGTAGGGTGGGAAGGGGGAGCGCCCTCACGGGGCAGGGGCGGGGGGGGGAGAGGGAGGGGGGAAGGGGGGGGAAGAGGGGAGGGCGATGTTTTCATTCCTTAGCCAGTGTGGCCCTGGTGGGGGCGGGGGGGCGCCGGGCGGACCGGCGTGGCCCGACATGCGGAGAGAGGAAAGAGGGATGGGGCAGGATGACGACAGAGCAGGAGTGGAGGGTCCGACAGGAGGTCAAGCGAGTGATCCTTGCCGTGTTCTGCACGCTGCGCTTTTGCGTCCTCGTGTGTAGTTCAGCTTCTCCTCTGAGCCTTGTCGCCGTCGGCGTCCTCCTCTGCAGATTCCAGACGTCGTGTCTGTTGCCCTTGCTTCCCGTGGGCCCCCGGAGGCCCCGACCCCGCCCCCTGGGCTGGATTTTCATCCCTTGTGTTTTCTTGGTTAAAACAGATCTGGGCCTCACAAGCTACATGGTCCCCCAGAGGCAGAAAAATGCCCCAAATTTTCCATCATTCGGGGGCGAAGTCCGAACGTTACCATCGCCGATCAACGGCTCAGACAAGTCGATGGGCGGCGGGGGCAGGGTTCGGAATGCGTCGAGCACATGTCGAAGTCCGAACCCTACCCCCTCCTCCCATCGATTCAGAAGAATCGATGGTTGGTGGGGTTAGTGGTCATGTGTCGCCACCTAGTCACGTTTTGGTAGGCATGGTACGTATCATTAGGATGAAAATCCAGGAAGCCTCGCGCGGCAACTTGACCCGATTTACGTTGGATCCACGTCGGATGTACGTCGGATCCACGTCGGGTTCACGTCGGAAGTACGTCGGAGTTATGTAGGACCTGCCCCCGCCCGCCCGCCGCCCCCCCCCCCCGGAGAACACTGCTCCTGCCGAGTGGCCGCTGGGCTCGAAATCCCGCCGCGTGAGCTTTCCGACTCGCTCCCGGGTTTCGTGCGCTCCTGTCTTTGGTTCTCCTCCTCCTCCTCCTTCTCCTCTTCTTTCTCTCTTTCCGTCTCTCTCACAATCCTCTCTTCTTCTCCTCCGCCTCCTCCTCCTCCTCCTCAGTATTTCTCCTCCCTCTTCCTCCCTTTCTCTCATACTGTCCCTTCTCCCCTACCTCGTCCCTTCCCCTTCCTCCTCATGCTTTATTCCTGTTCTTTTATTGAATAACTCCCCCCTGCCGCGCCCGCAGACGTGTCGGTATCGATGGCTGGGCGTTTCGACTGAGGCTTTCTTATCATTCGTGATCTTGAAGCTTGAACCTTGCAGCAGTTTCGAGGATTTATGGCGAACCGCTTTCAACATGTGGCTCTTGCTTAGCGCACATTTGTCTTAATTAAATGTTTGCAGCAGGGATGGGGTGTGGGTCCATTTCAAAATTTTGCTCTCGCGTTAACGCCGCGCACACTCGTTCCAAAACCTTGCAACCGTTTAGAGGACTCAGGGCGGTTGTTTTTCAACATGTGTCTCTCGCGTTCGCGCCGTGCACATTCGTCTTTAACGTTTCCAGCCGTTTCAAAGATAAGGGATGGACCGTTTTTTAGCTGTGGGTCTCGCTTTACCGCTGCGCTACAGTTTCAAGAATGGAAGGCGGCTGGTTTTCAACATGGGGCTCTCGCTTGAGCGCAGCCACTGAAAGTTTGTAGCAGTTTCCAGGGTTCGTATGGTTGAGTTCCCCAGATAACGGCGTTCTGGCACGATTTGGGGCTGACAGGGCGCAACAGACACGTTGATTCGCGGTGTTGCAGTCCCAGGAATGGTGGTCTGGTACGATTTAGGGTCGTCAGGATGCAAGAATCATGTTTCTTGGCGGCGCTGAAGACCCAGGAATTGCGTTCTGGCACGATTGAGGATTCTCCGCCGGTTGTCTTCCCATGGTGCCCTTCCTTCAATGGGCGCAAACTCTGGAAAAGGACCCATGAAAAAGGAACTTGGAGGGATGATTTCTTGCAGCGTCGTTGATACATCCTGGGTTTACCCTGGTCCTTCTCCTTCTCCTCCTCCTCCTCCTCGTCGTCCTCCTCCTCCCCCTCCCCCTCCTCCTCCTCCTCCTCCTCCTCCTCCTCCTCCCCCTCCTCCTCCCCTCCCCCCCCCTCCTCCTCCTCTCCTCCTCCTCCTGCTTCCTCCTCCTCCTCCTCCTCTTCCCCCTCCTCTTCCTCCTCCTCCTCCTCCTCCTCCTCCTCCTCCTCCTAGTCCTCCTCCTCCTAGTCCTCCTGGTGTTCTTCGTCATCGTGCTCCTTCTCTCCCCCGAGGACGCACGGCGCCGCGAGCTCCAGCGGGAGGAGGCCGCACGGCGGGACCAGGCGCGGCGGGAGGCCGAGGACGCGGAGCGGCGGCGCAGGGCGAGCGCCGCCGAGGCGGCGAGGAGAAGGGAGGCGCCGCCCCAGCGCCGCCCGCCGCCCTCGGACCCTCCTCCTCCTCCTCCTCCTCCTCCTCTTCCTCCTCCTCCTCTTCCTCCTCCTCCTCTTCCTCCTCCTCGTCGTCGTCCTCCTCTTCCTCCTCCTAGTCCTCCTCCTCCTCCTCCTCCTCCTCCTCCCCCTCCTCCTTCTCGTCGTCGGGCTCCTTCTCCACCTCCTCCTCCTCCTCCTCGTCCTTATTCCCCCTCCCCCTTGGACGTCCCGCCTTCGGGTGTCATGTGTGCGCTCCCCCTTCCCCTCCCCCTTGCTCTTCGGGAAGGGGGGGGAGGGGAGGAGGGAGGGGAGGGAGGTATGGAGGGAGGGAGAGGCAGGATGAGCAGGGCGGGAAGGGGGAAGGGGGGAGGGGATGATGATGATGACGATGATGCTGATTCTGCTGATGATGCTGATGCTGATGCTGATGCTGATGCTGATGCTGGTGATGATGATGATGATGATGATGATGATGATGATGATGATGATGATGATGATGATGATGATGAGGATGATGAGGATGATGAGGATGAGGATGAGGATGAGGATGAGGATGACCATGAGGAGAAGGAGGAGGAGGAGGAGGAAGAAGAAAGCGACGGACGACGGGTCGACCTCGGCACGGAGAACTGCTCGGCGGCGCGCTGCGTGGAGATAACCCTAATGCCTTGGCGCTCGGTCGCGCGCCGCTTACACTGCATACAGGAGCAGCAGCAGGGCACAGCAGCACGAAGGCCCGCTCGCGCGGCCGGGGCCAGTCTCTGCGTGGTAGCCCTCCCTTCAGGGGACCTTCCACTACTCGTGGCGCTATAGCTCCAGTGGCAGCAGCACGTGCCAGGACAGGTGGAGATAGCACGAGGCAAAGGCCATTCTGCTGACTTGTCCTTGTGTTTCTGTGCTTGCAAATCAGGTCCCTCCCCTCCTACTGTCCTCTACTTACTAGCCTCCTCCCTCCTTCCTCCTCGAGACCCTGATGACAGGGGCCAGCACGAGGCAAAGTCTACGCTGCTGATTATTTCAATTATTCGCATTTGTTACGTTTTTGTTTGTCTCTCTCTCTCTCTCTCTCCCTCTTTTTTTCTCTCAGCTTCTCTTTCTTAACCCACATGCGAACCCCGCCCTACCACCCCACGGTTTCTAAGGGGGGAGCCCGAGTTCACTTCGCTCGAGAGGTCCCGAACGAAGTGAACCCCACCTCTCCCCTTAGAAGTCGTGACGTGGTGGGGTAGTGTTCGCATGTGGCCTCCACACGCATATCCAAGTCGGGCTCGCATCAGTTCTTCTGCGCTGGCGATTGGGCCGCACGAGCTCAACGCTACTGCTGGGCGTGGCAGGTGATGCCCTCGCGCGGTGTGTAGTCCACTGGGCCGCTCTCTTCTCTCCTCCTTTTCCGTTCCTGTCTGCTTCCCTTGCATAGTCGATCATATGATTAAGAAACCTCCTCCCGAAAGGCTGGGCCGGCGTCTCTTGATCAACTGGTCAGAAAGCTGGCCCAGTTTCTTGAGCACGTTCGCTCCCTCCAGCGATAGCAGCCGATATTGGGCCAGGCTTGTTTAAAGAAATTTCTAGGAAGCTGGCCCAGGTTTCTTAACCTAGCCTTTTCTTGATCACATTTTCGGCTGCATCTTCTCCCTCACTGTCCTTTATAGCGCCGTGCTCACGCTGCGCTGCCTTTAGCCCGAATGCTCCAGGGGCGCCCTCGAGGGCGCGACGTTATCCGCGCTTCGCGGTTCGTCTGCGATTCCTCCTCGTTTTCCTCTTCTCCCTTGGGGGCGGTGCGAGAGCGCAACGTTTTTCGTGGTTCGTCTCCGATTCCTCCTCATCTTCCTCTTCTCCCCGGGGTGGGCGGTGCGATAGCGCGACGTTTTTAGCGCTTCGCGCTCCGCGCGCAGCGCGAAGCGTGAAGTTAGGCGCCCTTGCTGCTGCTCGGCGCCACGGCGCCACCGCTCTGCTCCCACACCCAGCAGACACCTTAAGAAACAACAACAGCAGGAGGAGGAGGAGGAGGATGATGAGGAGGAGGAGGAGCAGCTTTCATGTAGTCCAGACAGCCAGCCGGCATTCCTACAGGCCCTCCGGCCGAAGCCCTACACGCCGAGACAGCAGGCAGGGAGCAGAAGGAAAGGCGAGGGAGGGAAGCAACGAGCAGAAGGGGAGGGAGGAGGAGGACGAGGAGCAGGGGAGGGGAAGCAACCTTCCCCTCGTCTTCGTCGTCCTCCTCGTCCGCCTCCGTCGCCGCCGGCGCCCTCCCGGCGGGGAGCGGCGGGCGCGCCCGCGCGCGAGGAGGCGGAGTTGCGCGCGGCCGAGGAGCCGACCGTGGCCGCCCCCGCCGGCCCTGCCCCCCCGCCCGCCTCCCTTGGCCTCCCAGATGGGGTCACGCATCGCCGACGCATCGCCCATGCGGCTCGATGTGGAGCCCGATGCTCTTGACGCCGATGGGGCCGATGCATCGATCTTTCGGGGGCTCGTGTCCCTCTTGGACCGTCTTGCGGGCCTCTTGGGGCCCTCTTGGCCTGTTTTGGGGCCCCCTGTCCCCTCGTGACGCATTCGGCCAGTCCCCGGGGGTTCCCCCTCCTCTCCAAACCGACCGGACCAGGCTCCCGGGGGAGGGGTTTGGGGAGGGGGAAGCATCTCACATGCTGATGATAACCCCGAGGGGTCGGCGGAGTCCGGCGCTTCTCCCCGCGTTTGGTTCTTCATGACCGCAGTCGCACGTCATTCCAGTGCCACCCCATCCTCTCTCTCCCTGCTCCCCTCCCCTCCCCTGGTGGTGCGCGTGCTGTTATGCCACGTTCCCTTTCTCCCTTGCTTTGTGCGGGTGCTGAGTCATTCTGGTCTGGGTGGCCACCGCCCCGGCCAGGAGAAGAGGCGGCATAACCTCCAGGCATCCAAGGCGAATGTCAGCAGGCCCCTCGCGATGCAGGGAACGGCTGGGCGGGGGGGAGAGGGGGGATGGAGGAGAAGGAGAAGCAGAAGGAGAAGGAGAAGGAGAAGGAGAATGATGATGATGATGATGATGATGATGATGATGATGATGATGATGATGATGATGATGATGATGATGATGATGATGCTGATTATGCTGATCGTAGTGATGATGACGACGTTGATGATGACGATCGTGATGATGATGACGACGTTGATGATTCTGGTGATGATGATGCTGATGCTGATGCTGCTGATGATGATGATGATGAGGATGATGCGGATGCTGATGCTGATGATGATGCTGCTGATGATGATGATGATGATGATGATGATGGTGATGGTGGTGATGATGATGATGGTGATGATGGTGATGATGGTGCTGATGATGCTGATGATGCTGATCGTGGTGATGATGACGACGTTGATGATGATGATGATCGTGGTGATGATGACGACGTTGATGATTCTGGTGATGATTATGCTGATGCTGCTGCTGCTGCTGATGATGATGCGGATGCTGATGCTGATGATGCTGCTGCTGATGGTGATGATGATGCTGATTATGATGATGAGGATGATGATGATGATGCTGATGATGATGATGATGATGACGATGACGATGACGATGATGATGATGATGATGATGATGATGATGATCATGATGATGATGATGATGATGATGATGATGATGATGATGATGATGATGATGATGATGATGATGATGATGATGATGATGATGATGATGATGATGATGATGATGAGTAGGAGGAGGAGGAGGAGGAGGAGGAGGAGGAGGAGGAGGAGGAGGCAGAAGAGTATGATGATGATGCTGATGCGGATGCTGATGCTGATGATGATGATGATGATGATGATGATGATGATGATGATGATGATGATGATGATGATGAGGAGGAGGAGGATGAGGAGGAGGAGGAGGAGGAGGAGGAGGAGGAGGAGGATTCGCAGCAGGACCAGGAAGTTGAGGAGGAGGTGGTGGAGGAGGAGGAGGAGGAAAAAGAAGAGAAGGGATGGAGGGAGGGAGGGCGGAGGACGAGCAAGCAAAGGATCGAGGGGCGGAGGGAGGGAGGACAAGGAGGTTGAGGAGGAGGGGGAAGGAGGAGGGAGGGGGGGAGGACCACGAGGAGAGTGTGGAGTTCTGGGGTTCGACGCTGTCCCTGGCGTTGCCTGGCGGGCCCCACGCGGCCGTCGGACTTCTCGGTGGAGCGCGCCAAGGCCCCCCTGGGTCCTGGAGGGGCCACGCCACCAGCTGGTCCGTGAGGCACTTCGCGGTCGCTGTGAGCTTGATGATCTCGCCCAGGGCTCCAGGAGTAAGTCGGGCACGCCCCTCTACGGGAGGAAGATTCAAAAAAAGTGGCACATGGTCGGGGGACGATTCTTCTACCATTTTCGACCATCTTGTTTTTTCTGATCACTTTTTACCTAACAGCGAAGACTGATAGGTTTCTAATGGGGTCAAAAGAGAGCATCTGATGACTCCCCAGGGGGGTCTGGGCGGGAGCCGGACAGGCGAGGGCCGGGCTCGTTTTAATCAAATGGTCACACACTTCGTGCTCTTCGACCTCCCAGAACTCCATTCCCGGGCCACATTATGAATGCCCGGAGCCAACTGTAGGCCATTTCGTGCTTTTCGACTTCCCAGAACTCCATTCCCGGGCCACATTTTGGATGCCCGGAGCCAACTGTAGGCCACTTCGTGTTCTTCGACTTCCCAGAACTCCACTCCCGGGCCACATTTTGGATGCCCGGAGCCAACTGTAGGCCACTTCGTGCTCTTGGATTTCCCAGAACGCCATTCCCGGGCAACATGTTGGATGCCCGGAGCCAACTGTAGGCCATTTCGTGCTCTTCGACTTCCCAGAACTCCATTCCCGGGCCACATTTTGAATGCTCGGAGCCAACTGTGCGCCACTTCGTGCTCTTCCACTTCCCAGACTTCCAAGACTCATCATCTTCATCATCATCATCATCATCATCATCGTCCCCGTAGCCTTCTTGGTTACAGCCGTGCTTTCGAAGATTTCCTTTTAAAGGAACTGCGCAGCGCCTACTGCACACCTTAATGCCAGTACATGCTGATAGTTCTCGGTCTGGCGGCGGTGCTCCTGACCCTCCTGCATTGAACAGCGGTGCTCCTCAGCCTGCGGCAGGGAACAGCGCTGCTCCTCAGCGTGCTGCATTGAGCGGTCCTCTGCAAACGCTCGTCGAGCACGTGAAGCAGTGCGGCCGGATAGCGAAGCGAAATAAAGGAACGTCCGAACAAGAACGGGCCGAAAACAAGTTGGCCAAACGTTTCTCGGACCATCGCGACCGCATCCCCAAAGACATTTTGCATGAACTGCGGGCCCTGGGCTGTGCTGATCAGCGGACGGAGACCGAGGAACTCTAGCGGAAGCAGAAGACCGAGGAGCTCATGCAGCAAAAGCGAGACAAGACCGAGGAGCTCATGCAGCAAGTGCGAGACCTCGGCCGCCACCCGAAGGAGCATGCCGGGCGTAGCCTCGCAGAGCGGCAGCTGGCAGAGAAAGTCCGGAAAGCACGGAAGGCCAACCAGTTCTCCCCGGAGCAGGACGCCGAGCTCCAGGCCTTCAAGCAAGCGGAGAGCGAAGCCACAACAAAGACTCGCATCGCGGAGGCGGAGGGCCTTCCAAACCCCATGGAAGGGTTCGCTGAGGAGGCGCAGAACAGGATCGACCAGGACCTGCTGATGCTCGAGAGTGGCATCCGGACCAAGGCAATCCTGCGGCGCCTTGCCGCCTACAAGGAGCTTGTGTCCAGCCCCTCTGCGCGACACACGGACTTCGCGCAGCGGTGCGCGGAGCAGGTGCGCAAGGCGTCGGCCGCCCCCGCGGGGAAGAGCTGCTACGTTCCCGGCGGCGAGGTGGAGGGGGGCCAGCTGCGCGTCTTCTCCGACCGCCCCGTCATGACGGGGCCGCTCGTGTGCCAGCTCTGCGACTGCGACTTTCTTACACGGGAAGACTTTGCGCGGCGCAAGCAGCAGGGCCACGCGGGCGAGGCGGAATGCCGCAAACGGGTGCTGTTCCTGACGGCGGAGGCTGGCTGCAGGCCGATAACCGCCCAGGAAAAGAGGCTCATGGTGCAGAATTTTGCTCACTTCCAGCAGTTCTGTCACCCGGGCAGCAAGGGCAACCGCTTCTCGGGCAACGCCATCCTCTTCGCCCAGCCCACAGCGCAAATCCCGTCCATGGAGCTGCCCCCGGCGCCAGGCGCGCTCGTGGACTCTCTGAACGTCGTCTTCTCGGGCGCCGCGCGCAATCTCAGCAAGGCGCACTGGGCAACAGTCAAGCGCGCCGAGTACATGCGCATCGTGAGGGTGCTTCTCAGCCTGCATTCATGTGACGCGCAATGCCGTGGCGTGCACTCGCGTAGCGCTTCTCAGCCTGCACTCGCGCGGTGCTTCTCAGCCTGCGCCTCCTCGGTACTTGCCAGCCGCCGGATTGGCGCGATTTCCTGCAATACAAGCGGGAGAGGTGAAGTATCCGAGCCCGCGTGTCCACGGTGCTTCTCGGCGTGCGTACTTGTAATCCTAGTTCCAGCAGTAGTAGGACTGCGCGGCCGCGGTGCTTCTTAGCCTCCGAGTTCCTGCGGTGCTTCTCAGCCTGCAAGTTTTGCCGACTGTCCGCTTCACACGCCGCTCCTCGGTGCGCTCCTCTTCCGTTTGCGAGATGTCTTCCAAGATTTGGTTGGGGGCCGAGAACGACGGACATAACGCATCCAAGGAGCGCGGTCATCATCCCATCATCCTCTTCAATCATCGCATCATCATCATCATCAATGGCTTCGCCGAGCACCCCGGTGGAGACTCAGGTCTTACGGGCCCGTGCCTATACTACTACTATTACGACATAGCACTAAATCCATTCATGGGAGTGCCTGTTTTGGAGCTACATTCATTGATGCAAGTGTGTCGTTTGAGGCTCAACCCGTTGATAGCAGTGTCTCGTTTGGAATCGCATCCGTTGATAGCAGTGTCTTGTTTAGACCTCAGTGCATTTATACAAAGGTCTCATTTGGAGATACCGTTATCGATAGCAGTATTTCTACTGCTACTACCAGTGTTCCCATCACTCCTACTCGTTCACTCCACACACACACACTACAACTACTACTTCACTGTTACCACTCCTACCATCACTACTACTTCTACTGCTACTACTACTGTTGCTATTACTGCTGTTGCTGCTGTTTCTGCTGCTAGTGTAGCTATTACTACTGCAGCTACTGGCAGTGCCACTGCGACTGCCGCTGATGTTGCCACTGCGACTGCCACTGCGAATCCGAATGCGACTGCGAGAACACCAGAATTCTACAACAGCACTCTTACATGAATACCACAGGCAATGTTTCCAGCTATGCTTCTACACATCGCTGTTCGGTTGCTTTGCCGGGATAGTATCTTTTCGTCCAAAATCCGCCTGTAGGGGGACGTGTCCGACCCAACTCTAGGAGTCGTGCAGCGGATCGACGGGCGTTTTTGACTCCATTTGACCCCGGGGTGCGCTGTCGGGCCCCAGGGCCACCAGCACACTACCCGCACCGGCGGGCCTCTTCCTGGGCACGGGGTCCAGAGTTCGGTTGGCCTGCGTCGTTGAGCAACTCACGCACTGCAGGTCTGGGGCTTGTTTTCTTGACCATCCGCCTGATGGATGCCTCGGTACTCAGGACTCCTTCAGGGACCTATATGCCCAGGCGCGCGGCGCGTGCCCTTCCCCCCCTCCCGGTCGGTCGTCTCTTCGTCGTCGGTTTCCTTTCTTTGCCAAGGGGCTCCTCTGGCGCTTGTTAAACAAGTGTCAGTTTGTGATGCGGGTGTCTCTGGCGAGTCACCTAGAGCCACGGCGCCCCGCGTGGAGGTCGGCGGTGATGCCCTTCATATCATGGTCTGCCTCAGGTTGGGCTCTTCGATCGACCTCCCGGGCTCCTGGATGCAATCGAGCTCGTGC